ACCCCTATTCACACCCCCTGCTAGTGGTTTGAATTGAATGAATGAAGCCTTTATTTAAAAATAAGCTAAGTAAATAAACCCAGGGTAGTCCCTTCAGAGCTAATTAAAACTCTGCTATCCATGGGAGCCCTGGCAATTGCCATACCCCTATTCACACCCCCCTGCTAGTGAATTGAATATGACTTGAAAATGGGGCCATTGGTCCTATTGTACAAAAGTGTTTTGTTGAATAGTCCCGAGGCACAGCTATCATTGAGGCACTTTTTTATTTCTTAAAACCTTAGTACTGCTCGGAACGGTTTTATAAAATAGCGAAACTAACTACATCGTTATAACAGCATTTGATTCATGTGTTACCATACGCAAAGCTGCTTAAAGGTATCTTTGTAGAAAGGCTTAAACAAAGTATCCATAAACACTAGCGCAAACGCGACCACTGTTATCACTCTCGGCGTAATTCAGCAGATCTTCACCGTACCATAGTTTAAGGATGGATGTAGGGCTAACGTAAAGTGGGACGTTGAAGCCGTGCTGTAGAACGAGGTATTCTGATCTGGAGTCAAATCCAGGGATGCTGAACCACTTGCCGTTCCTGTGGACGCCTGTGGTAAATCTGTCAAAGAAATAGGTATATTTGAATATTTGAAGTCATCCAACCGATTTGCTTACCGGTGATCAACCAAGGGACCAACTTACCAAGGGACCAACCTACCAACTAACCAAGAGACCAACCTACCAACTTATCCCTACCAACTGACCAAGGGACCAACCTACCAACTGACCAAGGGACCAACCTACCAACTGACCAAGGGACCAACATACCAACTTATCAAGGGACCAACCTACCTACTTACCAAGGGACCAACCTACCTACTTACCAAGGGACCAACCAACCTACCAACTTACCAAATAACAAACCAACGGACCAACCTCAACTGACCAAGTAAATGTTTATCTATGGCTGAATTGCCGATGAATTACTTACGTTGCTCCAGCCTTTGGGAAGAGGATGTGGTTGCTTTCATCGGTAATGAATACATTCAAAGGGGTGTTTACGATGTTTGGAAAGTTGTGGCATCCCCAGTTGCTTTCATGACCCGCCCGAGATGCGCAGACAATCTTGCCGCTCCAATGAACGAGCTTTACGGCTGCGAGAAATCCTTCGGAACGAGGTTTGAAGATACCCGGTTTGGTGCCCTTACCCTCAAAGCATACTAGTCCCCAGTTGAGCTTTCTCCATTTATCTAGAGAAAGGAAAGACAACAAGCAAAATAGTTCTGTGAGCCAGCATGCTCACGAAGCAGGAGCCAATACAGAACATGGAAAAAATCCTCAAATCAAGAAAGGAGACTATTAAAAGTTACTGATGTGCAATGTCGAGTCAAAGTAAAACATTTTTTCTATATTTCTATTTCATCCGTACTTCTCGTCACTTTTCGAACATTAAAGAACAATGAGATGGTGGAACCTTTGACCTCGTAAAATTGTTTGAAGTTTGAAGTTTGCACATGAAAAGACGCATGAATATGGATACAACTCAAACAAAGAATCTTATTCTCAAGACCACATGTCATTCCCTAGAGTATCATTTCTTTGTTTAATGGTTGTACATGAAAAGACGCATGAATATGGATACAACTCAAACAAAGAATCTTATTCTCAGTATAGAGAATGACACGTTGTCTTAAATGGGAAAATAATGTGTTCGACGTCAGGCCGACTTAGAAATTGTTCGAAGCTGATTCTTGCTGAGGGAAAAATGATGAAAAAGAACCTAAAGGAACGAGCAACGAGCTGCGACTCTAACCAGATATAAGAGCTAAACATACTTACGTGAAGACACTCGTTCAAAACGTGCCTGGCTTGAGTGGAATATCAAACAAACCAGCATCAACAACAGAGACTTCCAAATCTTTGCGTCGATAGAAATAAGATATGGAACTGAGATAAAAAGGACAAGCATCGAGCCCCGTAACAACCTCTTGGCTGATCTAAGTCAGGGCATGGCTAACTCACAGATTGAACCCTGAAACAACCTCTGGGCTGATCTAAGTCAGGGCACGGCTAACTCACAGATTGAACCCTGAAACATCCTCTGGGCTGATCTAAGTCAGGGCATAGCTAACTCACAGATTGAACCCTGAAACGACCTCTGAGCTGATCTAAGTCAGGGCAT